AGAAAATATTTATTAGCAGCTGTGAATACAACTATCAGACACAGATTGCTGCACTGTAACTCCAGTGAATGTTCATTAATGATAATAAATACATTAACCCCATCTCAATAAAATGGATAAATTTCACATAGAAAAAAAACACTGTAGGGCATAATTTCAAAGTACTTGGGAATGTTTTTAATGAGGGTGCTGACATAGCATAGTATCAGAATAATAATACAATCAGAATAATATCAGAAACTCTAAAAATATTACAATTGTTGATCAAAAAATCTACTGTAGTAATGCCTAACTGCAAAATGGGAAAATAGAGTTAATGCAAGGAGGTAACTATAAGTATGTTTGAATGGAGCCACCAAATTTTTCTTGGGCACCAGAGAACCTGTTCAAGGAAGATTTTAGAAAGATTACACAAAGAGAAGGCTGGATTAAAAAGCCAGTAAAAGCAGCTGATCAAAGATGTCCTTGAAAAAGCTGAAAATATGAAAGAAATTTAAACATTAGAAGTATGCTAAAGAGGGTTTAGTTCCTCATGAAAGGCACAAGAAATAATAAATAGACTGTAAAAAGAAGTCTGACACCGAGATTAAGAAGGACAGTTGGAATAAAGAAATGACAGAATATGTAAACTCATTCTTTGCTTATATATTTCTTATGGAAAAGTTTCATGAGACAGCCAACCTAACATTCCCCAGCAGAGGGCAAATACCAGAGAAATTATTCAAAATATTCTAGAGAGGAATCAACAGAGTGAATAGCAGCAAAGTGCCAAAAGCCAATGGTAATCATTTGAGAAGGCTTAAGGAACTCAAGGGTGAGTGCCTGGTCTCATTGCCATATGAATGGGAAATGGCTCACACACATAGTCTCAATTTTTAAGAGGCTTTCTGGGACTTAAAATTTAAAAAAAAAAGAGTTGCCCAAATGTTTCTACCACTATCTGGTAGGAATAAGTGCACACAGGGGTAAGTGTGACAGGATGGAAGAATCAGCATGGGAAGAGGGATGTTTTGTCTCACAGATGTGCACTTTGAGGGAATCAGCAACGTGCAAAGAGATCATGTCATACAACTGGACTTCCAAAGCCACCTAACACTGCTTTGCATCAAGGACCATTGCAGAAGCTGCCAGGGGATGTGAAGAAAGTCTTCAAAAGAGTAAACAGCCATTAAGGCAGAAGGTTAAAAACACAGCATAGGAACTCAGTTACCAGTTCTCCAGTCTGAGAGGTGCCATGGGTGGCTCTTCAAGCTGCTGGCAGCTCCCTCTCCATGCAGTCCAGGACACCACTGCCACCTTTGCCTTGGGGGCACTGAGTCACTGCCTGGTCCTTGTGCAGTCACCAGGACCAGCACAGTCCCCAGGGTGTGCTGGGGCTTGGGGTTGTTCCTCCCCAGGGACTGGCCTTGGCACTTCCCTTCATTGAATGTCCAAAAATCTCTCCATTCCCAGTGTGCCAGGTCCCCCTGCAGCCCCAGCCCTGCAGAGAGCCAGCCACTCCCAGTTTTGTTCCTCTCTGGAGGTGCCCCATCCTTCAGGGGATGCTGAGCTGGGAGGGGCCTGGTGTCCAGCCCTTGGATCCCCCACTGGTGGCTGCCTCCAGATTGGTGCCACCAATCTCTGCCCCCTCAGCCCTGGCATTTCGTGCAGTTTTCAGCCCATCTCACTGCCCTCCTGTCTGCCCTAAACTCCATCACCCTGTCTGCAATGATGTTGTGGCAAACAGAGTCAAAAGCTTTACTGAGGGGGAGATAACATCCACTGCTGTGCCCTGGGAAAACTAAATCCATCTGTTTAAACCAAGTTAAGGGCACAAATCAGTCATTACCTGTGTGTATTCAGGGACAGTCCCTGAACTACCTGGTGCCTACTCAGGAAATCTGATACAGACCATCACTTTAATGCTCAGTAACAGTCAATAAAACACACAGCATAAGTAGGGATTCCTAGAAAAAGTAAAAAGCAAAAGAGAAAACAGTAATTTTTTTTTTTTAAGAAAAGACTGATGTGACTAAATGTTGAGTATCACTTCAGTTTCAGCCTTCTCAACAAAGATAAAGTATAATGAGAAAAGATACAGAGGAGGATAACATAACAAAAGTTGCACACCAGTTTCTGTACAGGGAATTAAAATATACAGAGGGATTTTCATCCTGGAAAAGACAACGAGGATACCATAGTGACTTACTGTGAGAGGCGGTGGCGAAGGTGAATAGGGGAAGACCAAAGAGTTATCAGACAAAGACAGCCCCAAGAAATAAATCTAAGGTACATCTTCCCATAACCCATAAGCTGTAAAAGGTTCTGACATGCTGTGGGTAGTATGTATTTAAAATGAGCAGATAAAGTCACAAAAGAGGAATTCATCATGGGATATTAGCTACAGAACCTAGCAAATATTGCTTACCATGAAGTTGGAGATTATGCTGGGAAGAATCAGAGTTTTTTTCTCTACACATTTCCATGTGAGCACAGATGGAGAGAGGGCACTGGATTACATGAAGCCTTAAAGTGGCCCAGGAAGGTCAGAAATCTTTATGTTCTTTGGTATTTACCATTCATGTCCCAGCACTGACCAGCTGTAAGAGCCCCAGCTTCTTGCAGACTTTTTCAGTTTGATTCCATTCTTGTAAGCAAAAGCTTTCAGTTACCTCCTGCATTTTCTTTTCTATCACAAGAGAAATACTTTGCAGCAATAAGTAGAAGTAAATTACATTTACTATTTTAAAATATGAATCAAAAGAAATAATGGACATATTTCAATAAGGCTGTCTGCCCTGCTCCTCTGTGTCATTCTAATGGGCTCATCCAAACATCCCTCCCAGAACAGAAAACAACAAATTCTTTAATTTCCAGGCTCTCCACTGAAGTACAGCTAGAGCACTTTCCCATAAATCTCTCAGAGAGCAATAGGATGTAGTGTGTATTAAGGGATCTGGGAGCTGTTGCAGAAGAGACTCCTGGCAGTAAGACACTCTTCACTTCAGTCTGATACATCAGGAAAAAATATCCAGGCTGTTACCAGTACCTGATTAGGGAGATGCCCCCAGCCCATTGCTCCACATTCCATTTTTTCACATGATGCATGAATTCACCCACCAGAACAGAAAGTGCAGCCATTTCAAGGCAGTTTACAGACTCTGGAGTTACCAAAGCCACCTCTAACTTGGATGCATCCAAATGCATCTTACATTTCTGTAAGAACTGGTGTTTCAGTGAAATGATCCAAGTGCCAATTCATTTAATCCCCAAATGGAATACAGTCATTCTCTGCTTGTGTTGGAAATATTGTCTACAGTGAGCAAACAGAAAATACTAGAAATGAAATTTTATGGCCATTATTTCCTTTGACTGGCACCTTCATCCATACAGGACCCAGAGCCCTGAGCCCTCCCTGGGTGTGGGCAAGTACAATACAGTTCAGTGGCTGGAGAGCGCCATGGAGTAAGAGTTTGGTTGGACTCCATTCCCTGTTGAAACTGGATCACTGTGCAGTCAGAAACCTGGAAATCCTTTTGGACAGTTGAAAACCGGGAAGGAATGTTACTCTGTAAATGGGTAATTACTTAACACATTCAGCTTTTGCTCTATTGCTCTCTTGGGCACCTGTTTTCTATGGAACATTCTGCCTTTAGTGCCAAAGCAGGTAAGGTCTGACCTTGGCACTGAATTCAGGGTCGTGCCATCAGGTTTTCCTCAATTGATTCCTTTTGAGATGGAAAATTAAAATGAAAATAAGCTATTTTCATTTTACACTGGTAAGGAACACACCACAGAGCTGACAAATATTCAGCTGGAATTACTTGGCAGAACAGTTAATTCCATATTTATCTAATTTTGTAGTAAAAATATCTTTCTGCAAAACTCTACTAACTTGCAGATCTCAGCTCTGCCAGCATTATAACTGCTATTAATAAAAAGAGTACCTTCAGCACTGCTCAAAAATAAAAATTAGGTTGGCATCTTATCTTCATAAAACAAGAATGAGTGAGATCAGCTATATTTTCTTCCCTTAGAATCATTTACCAGGGCAATATTAATAGAAAACTATCTGATATCAAACTGATACTGTCCCCTATATTATTTTAAAACACCAGCAATATATTGGTTTTAAAACACCTGCACAACATAGCTCCATTAGAGCTTCCTGGAAACTCTGCACAGTTTCAAGAACGACCATAAATTATCTGTCCAAGCAGCTGCTTGACCATTGTTCCCATTTGTTCAGCACTTTCCAAGACAATCCTCAGCTCACAACAAGCACTCTGCTCATGCAGACTGGGGCATTACCTGTGCCATTGCAGTACAACATTTTGTAGTGTAACAAGGTTAATATTTCTTTCCTGTTATCTGAAACATCCCATCAGTTTCATTAGAGTTTAATAAAAATCAGAAAATAGAACAAAAAATAGTACATTTTTTTTTTTCATGAACCAAGCTTTTCCTGCTCTTGGAAAATCTTTCAAAGACGTATTATTTATTTCAGTAGTTCCTAAATAGGTATTATCAGAATTTATAGTCTATCAACAGTTTTATACCGAAACGGTTTCTCATAACTACAACATTTTATCATCAAATTTTCATATTAAGTTCATATACTAAAATGTCACTGGCTACATAACAATTGCAGCGAGTAATTAGGAGTTATATTCAGATATAAAACAAGTCCTAGCCAACACCTAAATCACAGCACAGTTTTTCAGGGCTTGCAGAAGGAGGGCAGCTGCAGCTGAGCAGAGAAGATGAACACAGCCCAAAAGGGTTCTGCATCTTCAGAAACTGCAAGCACACAAAACAGCAGCAACTGCAGTGAGCAGAGCACAGATGAAAAGTCTACATAAATTAGCTCTGCCTCCTGTGCCTTAGAACACTGGTCTTCAAAGGCCAAACATCACAAAATTGTATTTCAAAACTCACTGAGAACTTCCAGGTAAATTTCATTAATGTTAAAAATACCTCCGTACATATTTGGACCATTAACTTTATTTTTTCTGTTCTGTTAATTAAGTTCTGAATTACAAAGAAAGAGACTGAGGCCTCTACGAAAAAAAGAATTTAGAATCCCCTGACTTATCTTCCCATCTTGACAGGGCAAAAGGCTCTTAAGGCTAATTATCTTTTATAGATAATTATCTACATAGATCAGTTTAGAATATTCACATTTCATCTGATGTATTCCAAATCACACACACGTATCAACAATATGTATTTTCAGTTAAAATAAAAAAATAAAAAATACTTTAAGTAACCATCTTAGGACTGTCTACCAAAGCCACAATTTTACTGACTGTACACGCAGATGAATGCCCACAGAGGGTCTCACCCTCTGACCCGTGTGCACTTGGCTGTTCTGCCACAGAATTCCTCACTTGCTGCAGGTCTTTCCATTTTTCTTTCAGACTTGCTGCTAAAATTCTTTTCAGCTCATATCCTCTCTTCCCTACAGGAATTGAGAGAAATATTTTTCAATTTAAAGTTTTGCAAGCTCTTGTAATGTCAGATTTTAAGCTAGAGTTCTTACTGTTGAAAAGTTGTCTTTGCATTCTCATAGTAAATACAGTAAACTGAAATTAGACGCAGAAAATATTAATATTAAAAATATTTAAAGTGAAGGTTAAAAAGAGTCTATAAACTGAAATTTACTATGACAAAGATACAATGCAAGTGTGTAACACCCTCTCTCTGTACAGCTTAGGGAATAAAAGCACCTGACTCCTAACTGCTAAAATTTACACCTTTGATAACATTTTTCACTTATAGTGACAATCTAGTATTGCAGATATAGATCAGAAGTTTATTTTTATGCATCTTTAACTAATATGCTCCTGGGTTATCAGTCTTTTAATGGTTTTTATTTTAAAATGCTTAAGTAGCTCTCAGACAATCTAAAATATCATTCCCCCATGTCAGAAGTTCAGTCAGTGTCCATTTTCACTTATGTCAAAACAGATATTCCCTTCAACTTCCTTTTCTTCACATCTCAAGGGAAAGAATTCGAAACATTAAAAATGGCTAAAAATAATTTCCATGTTTATAAAAAGCCAGTCCTGCACTCCTAGTCCTGAGAGATATGAATGTCTCCATGATTCTGCTCCATGGACACACATGAATAAATAATCCAGCATCAGACTGCAGCTGTGTGCTGCCATTTGTGCTGCCTGCTTGGCTGCCTGCCAGACCCTCCCTTTCCTGCAGGTCCTTCAGATTTCATTCCAAAACTGCAAGAAGCCTTCACTGGTTTGATAGATCCTTTAGCTAGAAAACTGTGTTCATATTTTTCTTTAAAATTTGAATCCTAACAGAAGGATCTTAAGGTTAAATTTTATTTTATGTTGGAAATAACATCCATGATAAATTATTAAGCCTATACTGTGAGTGATGTTGAGAAAGAAATTTCTAAGCTGTGAAAAGAAAGCTCACATTTAAACAATACCAAAATTTAAAAGTGCACAGGGACTGGCAAACAATAACATTTCTATTATCTTGTTAGCTCTTGCCTCCTGAATATGTTGTAGTTGATATTTAAGCCCTTCAAAACACAGATTATCTTCCTGTTTTTATCACAATGCAGCTGTGATTCTCATTCCAGCCTCTAGATCATAATAAATTATTTTCCCACCTTACACATTTCAATAGCAAGAAGGAATAATGGTCAGACACAGGCCTGGGGATGAGTCCCTGATTCCAATTAAACCAATGACCACATTTACCCATTACCTGTGCCTGAGTCCTGTTGTACTTTCAGGGATCCCCAATGAAGGGAGGAATGATGAATCTGACTCCATGTTCTTAGAAGGCTAATTTATTATTTTATTATCTATATTATATTAAAGAATACTAAAGTAAACTATACTAAAGAATACAGAAAGGATGCAGACAGAAGGCTAAAAAGATACTAATGAAAACTGGTGACTCTTTCCAGAGTGTCAATAAGCTTGGCCATGATGGGCCAATGAGTGAGAACACTCAGAGCAGAAACCAATGAAACAATCCCTGTTGGATAAACAATCTCCAAACACATTCCAGAGCAGCAAAACACAGGAGAAGCAAATGAGATAATATTGCTTTCCTTTTTCTCTGAGGCTTCTTAGCTTCCTAGGAGAGGAATCTTGGGCAGAGAGATTTTTCAGAAACTATGACAGTGCCTGAGCCCAGCCCCAGGCACTGAGCACAGGGAATTACTGAGCCCAGCCTTGTGCCCCTGCCAGGGGCTGAGCTGCCCTGCCTAAGGCTGGCCCTGGAATGCTGCAGCTGGCACAAAGCTGAGCCCAGAGCTGTGCCAGACCAGCCCCTCCTCCCCAGGCTGGGCCCTGGGAGTGCCCAGCCCCTGCTGGGCTCTGCTGTGGGTTTGGGTTTGCCTGGCCATGGCCTCACTGTGCTGTCCCCTGCCATGACCTTGGGCCTGCTTGGTCACTGCACCCCTGCCCGAGTCACTGTGCTGGGATTGGGCTGGGCTGCTGCTGCCGGCCTCATTCTGACCTTGACCTCAGGTTATGTCTCACCATTTTGCACTTGCCTCATGATCTGGACTGTCTGGAGACACCAACAGCCTCAACCTGGCCAGCTCAGCTTGCCTTGCCCAGCTTCTGTGGGACTGTGCCCCTGCCAGTACCTCCAATCATCTGCTGTCATTGTCATCTCCCTGAGGGCCTCTCCATGTGGGAACACCTACTCCTGCTGCTCCTTGAGATGCGTAATCTCCCTGTCCTTCATCCCCACAAATCCTTCCTTTTAACTTCTTCCAATTTTTGATGCCATTGATCATTCTTGCCTTCCTGGCATTTTACACCCACCAGACTTGAAGATTGTCTTTTTTCACTCCAGTTCTTTTCAAGGCTGTTCTTGTAGCTGATCTTTTGATGAGGATTTTTGCTCTTTCCCCACTCTCATTATTCCCCAGGGCAGTATCTATAGCCTTTTGCTCATCTTACATTATGCTCTCTCTCCAAGCAATTTCATCACCTGACACATCCTCAGTTATCATCTCCATGCTGATGACTAACAAATCGTTACTTGTTCTTCCAGCAATATTCTCCATCTGTCCTTCTCTCAAATTATGTAATATCAAGGTTTTATCAGCTTTGACCAATCTTAAGAAAAAGAACTATTATCTTTCTTCCCAAAATCTTGCCATTCCTTTACTTTATGCACATTTAGGTATGTGTTCTCAGGGTACTTTCAAAATTTTTCCTCACACTGCTCTTAAAAAAGAAAATCCACATGCCATTTTGGGATCTTCATTTACTCATCGTCCCGCTTCCCTCTTTGTCCAAACCGAAAGAGTTTGGAGTTTAAGTCCTAATAAGATGTTATAAAAAAACCTTTTAAGTACTCTTTCAATTTGTTCATGCAACACCTTTGCCTCAAGACTGAACCATCTGAATCCTTCCACCAGGGCCTAGTTCCCTTTGATATCAAACCTACATTTTTCAGTATTGCTTTTAAACGTCCATGTGACATAAAACTGCATGTTAAAAAAAAAATTGAACACTATGCAAGATAAACTATATCTAATTGCCAAGTAGAAGAAATATCTGAGCTAGGTTAAAATTAGAAGCAGTGAAGTACCCCCAGTGGTACTGAGCTTCTTGGCAGGATGCATTAGCTCATGCACAACTCTGCGCATTCATGGGTACTCTTCCTGTTCATCTCTATAACTCTGCAGTTCCCTCACAACATATTTGCTCATTAAGCTTGATGCCTATTTATATTTTGTACATCCTGCCAGTATTCCCAGTCTTGTGTAATATGTTTGACAGTCTGTCATCTATGTATCATATAAAGTGGTTTACCCTATTTAAGTTCCTCTTAAAATAATTCTACTTTTCACAGCATCTCCATAACTTTCACAAGCATCTGTTTCTTCATCCTGACACTGGGAATGGCCAGAGCAGTAACATTTCTTGAATAAGTGCATGTGAGGTGGTAGAGTAAATTAAACAGGGACCTAAATAATAGAATACAGATCCCTGTATCTCTGCTGCATTTAGCAGTGCTTCTGTCTATTTAACTGTCTTCAAAAGCTCCTCTGCCTTTCAGATCTTCTGTACCTGATGACAGCTTAGCAAGTTTTGCTGTGCCAAAGCTCCACTGTTTCCTTGCAAAGATAAAAGCTACTCAGAAAGATGTTCAATAGAGAAAACATCTGAACAGTGTCTGCTTTTCCTCTAGAAACTGGCACACGGTGTTTTCTGAAAAGAATGAAGAAAACTTTCTACAACTCCTAAGAATTGGCCTTTCTGCCATTTCTTGCTGCAGGCTGTGCAGTCCCTGCATTTTCCATCAGTGATGAGGGCAATGCAAGAACCAGTCCAATGTAAGAACCACAGGAATTTGGACCCATTTTGGAAGGCACTTGCATAGCACAGAGATGGGCAATTTCATCCTCAGACGAGAATTCTACCCTTCACTGTAGCATATCTTTACCTCATCCTTTATTATATCCTTACCTCATCCTTTAGCAGCCATTTCATGCAGATAGATGGGGAACTGGCACAAACTTAAGTTTTTATGGAGCTAGTCAGGTTTCAGTAGTAGCAGAGGGAAAAACATCCACAAGAAGATAAGTAGCACCTTGCTGGGGCAAACTGTCAGCATCCTCAGGACATGTTTCATGTTCTCTGAACAGGACCCTTCATGAGCAGCTTTCCATTTAGCAATTTCCAGGCCAGCTTCTGCTGCCTATTGGATTTTACTCACTTGTTTTATTGATGGCAGTCTTTTGTCATCTAGTAGAAGTTCTAGTTCCTTGGGAATGGTGAAAAAAAGCAAAGGTTAATTTAGAAAAACCCATAAGCTTTAATCTAGGACATAGAGTAACATATTTTATTTTAAAACTATGTTCTATATTTAATTCTATTGTCTTTTTGGACTATAGGATCATAAATATAAGTACATAATACATTACAGCCTTGATAATAATGTATATTAAAGCTACTGCATACTTTCCTGGTATAATAATAATGAAGCTTTAAAATAGCTGAAGCATCACTTAGTACAAAACAAGATCAAAAAAGGATTAATATATATCATGTTTCTGTTGTTATATATTTACCTAAAAACCAAGATTTAAAATTTTGCTATGTTACAGACTTATTTGCATGATGAGAATATGTTCTGAAGCAGGCAAAGCTATCTGCAGACTAAGACTCATTATTTCTTTTTACAGAAACAAAACCTCAAGGTTCAGGAGACAGGCATGAAAAAAGTTAAGACAAATTAATTGCCAATGTGAAAATATCAGTGCAACATCCAAACAGTACTTTTTTTTTTTTTTCTTTTTTGCAGTCTAGAAAGACTGAGAACACAGATAAATTCCAGTTTTCTTGGCTACCTATTGGACAAAATTATTTCAAAATTCTAATTTTTAGAATTTTAAAAAGTACTTATGCTGCCATATTTTTAGCCCACAAACAAGGAGCTTGTAGGGCTGACAGTCATTTCAGGAATTGCAGCAGGAGCTTTAAAAGGCCAGGTGTGTCTGATTTCTCCTGCTCACCCTGCAGGTTCAAAGCATTTAGCAATTAAGGAGACATCATAATGTAGTCATTCAAGGAAGACTGACTGCTGCAGAGGATAACTCTAATAATTTATGGAGTTACTTTGAAAGCAATCATTGTCGTTGCAGGGACCCTACATTATTGTTTGTCTGGACCTAATTTAATTATGGGCATTTTCTGCTTCTGGTGCAGGCTCCTCACTTGACAGCTATTACAAAAGTATGAGCTTTACTTGTATAAATATTCTCCATGCAGCAAAAATATTTTTAATGGCAAAACACATTAATGCACATAAATTTTCATATAATTGTCACCACATATTATGTTTTACAATTATTTAACATTCATACTTTCTGTATGATCATGTCAGCATGATCTTTTGTATATAATCAGCTCAGTTGGAAACCTGTTTTTTGGTATAACACATTCCCAGTGCAGCAGAGAGAAATGGTCCTTGATATTGTTAAACCACTGGGTTTGGGAAGCAAATTCCAAGGTCTCTGGTGATTTTTGTCATGATGGCAATAGTTACAATCAGGTAGTCTTCTTTCTAAAGAAAAGAGAACATTTGTCCTTAACATCTACCACTTCCTTTTTGAAATAATCTGCGGAAGATTTTCTTCTTCAGGTAAGATGGTTTCCAAAGTTACATTCTATATTAGAAAAAATATAACATTATATGATACTGTTTACTCTTATTAGTCAGTTGATAAATATTTTTATTTTAACATATCCAGGTCTTGAGTAAACTCATTCAAACTACAAATTATTGAGCTACCTTGAAGAACTCAGAAGTAGTTAAAAGAACTTATTTCAAAACTGATAAATTGAATAATGTTTCACTTTCCCCCCCTCGATTTTATTTATACAAATTCACAGGACCTTATTCAGAATTTGGTTCCTTCTTCACTTTATTCCATCAGCTTTTTCAAGATTGAGAAGTCTGATATGAAACAAATGAAATGCTGGCAGTTGATAATTTCAAAGAAATTTTTCAATATTTGGAAAACTACAGAATATCTATTATTGTGGAGGTGTTGGTGTGTATTTTGAACTGCTGAATGTGGGAACAAACATGGCAAAGAAGAGAGCTCTCACACAGTAGTGCTGGATGGGCTGTGTCATCTTCCAATGCTCAAAGGAAAATAGAGATAATAAAGGTTTGCTGTAGCTTCCACCCCTTCTTTTGAATCATATTCTTTGTTTCCACATGGCTAGCAACCATGGAAGTATTTTGCTCCAAAATGCATTATTGGTTATATTTTAATGCTTTTAAGGGTAATCCTATAAATTTCAATTTCTGTGTTAGGTTTTTACCTCCATCCACCATCAGGTTCTTGCAGATGGCTCTGGAATCAAATACTGCAGTATAAATGTCGTGTAACAGTCCAGTACATTCCACTACAGCCTCTGTTACTGCATGTAGAGGAACTGATGAAGTCCAAAATATTTGCATGAAAATATTTTCATGCAAAAGTCCCCAAAAGCCAAACATGCCGTGTTCAAGTGCTGAAAATTAATTTCTGGGAGGGTTATGTGGTTCACTACAGTTTAAGGAAGCAAAACTCATCAATATGTTCAAACATGGTAACGAGGAATACCCAAGAGCCAACGGATTGTTTTGGAAATAGAGGAAATGTTTTGTTTCACATTATAATCTAGATTCAGTTCCTTTATGTTTGTATTTTTCTCTCACAAAACAATGAGAAAAGTTAAAGTGAAACATTTTCAATCCTGTGAATTTCACAAAACTGACAAAATTAAAGGACAGGTAGGGAAACAAAAGAATTCCTTCTCCTGCAATCAGTTTCTCCAAGTTTAAACAGCTGCAGTTCAGGTTATGAGCAAGGCAGTTTTCTCACTGAATTAAGCTAATAGCAATTGCTAACAGACAGAGAGCAACAGTAATAAACAGACACAGTAATCTGTAGTAATAAAAAGTTATTAATTTCACCTGTCCAGTGTATGAGAAAATTTAATAACCTCTGTGCCCATCTGCTTCTGTTTCTTCTGGAATATTTTACTGCTATACTAAGTTCAAAAACACACTTCAAGATTGGAATAGGCAAAATGAAATGCAAATTTGCAGGCAATGTGATGACCAACACCTTGGAAAATAGGACTCTACCATCTCCTACCATCTGGTTCCTTTAGACTAAATCCACCAGTAAAATACATCTTGCTGTAGCTGGACTGAGCTCAATAATTTGATCAGGTTTTCCAGTCTTGGGTTTCTGCTTATTTAAAAACCCAAAGCCAGAAATGTATGACTTTTTTGGAAAATGACAAGAATCATATCCTGTCCCATCCCATCCTCCTTCAAAAGAACCCTTTTTCCCCAGGAATATGAAGGAAACCTGCCTGAAGGCTGGGTGAATTTAGAGTTTCCAGGAGTGAAATACAAGGCTTTCTATTCAGATGAAGAGAACAGAAATCCAACAGCCCTGAGCATGGACATAACTCAGCACCATCATCAGAGGGCTGTAAATAACAGTGAGATAAGGTACTTCCATGGCAGAAATACTAAAGTATTACCTGTGAGAGCCTGGCAGAACTCTTACCTCTCAGAATCATAGATTTCACCTGTAGCAAGGGGATAAGAATGCTTATCTAATTTTGTAAATATTTTTAATGATTTCAGGTTTAAATTATTGTATGAATCAGCCCTGTGAATGCCAGATCTGGAATGCAGAGGCAGCAGTTTTCTATTTTCTGTCTGAGATTAACTGGGGTGAATCTGATTCCTTGGGTTTCTCCAGGTCACCTGACTTCTGAATTTGATCTTTTTTCTTAACTTGCCTGCTGAACCCACATGATTGCTACACTTTCTTCTCTCTGCTAATAATTGTTTTCATAATTTAGCATCCTTTTTGAAGTGGTGCTCCAACTTCTTCAGTTTCTTCCATTCATGCAGGACTTTTTCCTTTTTTTACAGCTTGTTTTCCTTAATTCACTACTCCCAATTTCTGCACTAATTTATCAGTTTCAGTAGTGACCTTGGAAGGTAACACTGTACTGTTGCTTTTACTCTTTAGTCACTTTTTTGTCCTTTCTCAGATAAACCTTCAGCACTTTTTTCATAGTAAGGTCAGAAACACCAATATTATCCTCTTCTACATTTTTGTAATTAATTTTTCTTGAAAAACTTATGTCTTGAATACAACTAGATTTTGCTAAATTGCTTGTTAGACTTTGAAGCTTCCTATTAAATTATATATTATAAACACATTTGCATTGAAATTCTGTTGCTCAGGTTCACTTCAATGCATAGAAGCACTTTCTAAATCCCTTTCCAGCTGAAGAATTCTTTAAATTTTAATATTGTTTAAGCTTCAAGTCAAATATATACACTTAATATCTGTAGCACAGCTACAGCAAAGCACATTCAAATGTAAAAGTAAAATATAAAAAGTCGTTGCAACATTTTTATAGCTTTTCAAATAGCATGAATTGAAAGTAGAAAAGTTGAATTAAGCTTTTATGAGAAATTACTGAACATTTCCCCTAATTTTAGAGTTTGAAGTTCCTCAATTTTTAGATTAAAACTTGTTTAATGCTTATAAATGGAACACCTTCCAGAAAAAGAATTATGCAAATTACAAAATGGGAGTTTAAAATGAAAGCTCAAAAAGAAAAATTAATATTCCAGTATATATCAAAAAATGCCATATTTTTTAAATTGTACATTCTTACATTTACATCAGTTAGTATAGAGGACATGACTGATCAAATTTCCATTTCCTGCCCCTTTTTTTTCAGCTGCTGCATTTTAGCATTCCATCAATGCCTTTGGTGTATAGGAGATATTTTTTCAGTGTTCCTGTTAAAAGTATGGGCAAACTGTAAGGTTGTGTAAGATTACAGAGAATCAGGAATTCATCTCATCCAGTTTACATGTCTCCATTTGAATTAGTCTCTAATTAAATTTGTTTGACTTTCTGGCAAGTGGAAAGAAATGGTTATTTCTAGAATGCAATTAATCTTGTCCCAAAATAGATCCTGAAAACAGTTCAGATAAATTGGTCATTAGGAATGCCTGATTATCTCTGTTAACTATGGAAGGAGTTCAGTAGAGCAGCTCAAACACAAATGTCTGTGTGACAGACCTCCAATGTTATGAGAAATTAATCTTAATGTTGCATTTCCCATTTCTTTGAAAGAGGAATAAAAGACTGCACTAAGGTGATTTTATCACCCTGTAGGAATTTGTTTCCTTTTCCAAATTTAAAAATTGTTGTTCCTTTTTAGAAAGGTATCAAAACAGTAACAGCAACAAAAATATAGCAAGAAAGTAAAAGCAATAAATATATTGATATAAATACTTGTCCAAATTCAATCCTTGTAATGCTTCTTCAACTTTTCCTCAAGGATTTTTTTCCTCTGATTCAATCATCCTTTGGGGTGTGAAAATTGTGCTGATACACCAATTACAGCAATGCCTTGACAAACCAATTTATTTTGAAACATCTAGATTAAGTTTTGCCACAATACAAGCAACAGACAGCTTTGCCTGAAGTAGAAACATGTTTTAATTTGTCTTGAAATAGTTTTGTAGGTAAATGGCTCAGTAAAGATTAATATCTGAACACACACTGATGCTAATCTATAACGGTCCTCATGCAAAAATAACAGCCCTGCTGCTGCAGGGATTAAAGGTGATCCTGTATTAAAGGCCATGCACTGTCTCAGATCTGCTGAGTGATTTTAGGTCATTCAAATAAGCTCTCCGTGCCTCAGTTTCCCCATCTGTCAAATGAATATGTCTGCTACCTCACAGAGACTTGGCAACATAAATTAATATTTGTAGGGCTCTCAAAGACTATATAAGTCACAAATAAAATACACTGTATTCTAGTTATATGTTGTGATAAACTGATGTTGGTAATGAAAAATGAATTCACAGAAAAAAGAGCCAGTAACAGTGAATGATATCTTTACAAGCTCACTGTGAAAAACCCTCTGTGCTATTATACAAAAATAACACAAGCACACTGCTATGCACATAAGTCATGACAATAAACATAAACAATACAAATCAAAAGCATATTTAAGGTATAGAGAACACTAATAGAATGAGACATGATCATGACACACTTGTGTGTAAAAATGTCTTTCTAATGGAAGGGAATTGATCCTGAAAAGAGCAGTAAGTGCAGCATCCTCAAGTTGTCCTGCTTATTTCTACAGTGAAATAGTAAATGTCTAAAAATATATACTCAGTCTAACCAAATCAGGATTCAGATTATACCCAATTTTTCCTCTTTCTATGTGTAATATATGTAATATAACCTGTTTTGAAACACTGATAGGGCAGGCTGTGATCTTGGAGGATGTGATGGCCACAGGAGCAGCCTCCAGCCTTTCAGCAATTTCTCCCAGGTCTATTTGTGGAATTTGCTTGCAGAGACCACATTGTCCCAGTGTCTGTGCAGCACCAAGAACCACAAAGCTTTCCATGATAAATGTGCAGGACTCCAATTATTGTATTATTTAATATCTAATGATTAGTGACTAGCAAGAGGGCAAGCTTAAGATACAACACTATAGTGCAGTAAATTCATTAACTGAAAATTTAAGAAACACTCCTTGACATGCACATGTCTTTTCTATTCCAAGTTCTCAGCTCCAGTGAGAGAGAAATCAGCCCTGAATAAACAGAAGCCCCATCCCTTTCATAATGTGCACAATGAAACAGAGTAACATTTGCACAATAAATTGGGTAAAGAAAAAGCAAGCAATCATAGCTAATGATTTTAAAATGCAAAAATATGTAATCTTTGCAACTGCATGTTTATTTTATCCATTCACTCTTCATTATAGTGTATCTTTACTAAGATATAAATCATGCAAGCAGGGAAAGAGATTAATGTGATGACTCATTTTAAAGAGGTGGTTGCTGAGCAGCCTGCAAAAACAAGTGGATTAGGTATTCAAATTTCATACTTAATACAACAAGGAGCATAATCCTGGACAGATTACTAGGACAGATTATAAGCACTGAACTTGGACATATGCTGCATTTAAATACTTATTGTGTGGTCAGGTACTTGCAGCTTAGGAAATGCCGTAATTGAGTTTGCACTTATAACTTCAATTTCTGCTTCTTTGTACCTGATATGCCATAATATCTCATGGGAAAATTCATGTCATCGAGTACCTGAAACATCTTGACTTTACACAGTGGGAATCCCTAAACTAATTGCTATTGGTAATTTCATTCCAGTTGTTGAAGTACATTACACAACTGCAAACAATGCTTTGGAAAGGGATTATCACTTTCTGATGGCTTTTTCCTCTTTCTTTACAGGGCAAGTCACCTCTGTGATTACTTTAAAAATATTAATTCATGCATTTGCAGAGACACTTTATATGATGGATGAGGTGATGGTGTAATTCTATACATGAGTGTGAAGAGAGCAAAGTCATGAATGTCAGCCTGTTCCGAAAGTCCAAGGAGAGCTTTGATTTCTTTTCCAGTGTTAACATTTTGTGTGTTCTGGGTTCCCACTGACTTCACTTTTGACATTTCCAAACTGGTTAGATATTTTAATTATGAACACCAAAAGCAGACTGACATAAACAACAGTTTCCACCACTTTTCCAGCTTTTACTGGAGTAACTGGGCCAGGATCATACAGGAAAACAGGATTTCAGTCCTACTGGGGGGCTCTGCCACTGCCTGAACCCTTTCTTTTTCTGAGGCACATTTCTGCCTCATTTCCTGCACATTCACTTTACATATTCTGAAAAGAAATTATCTGGGAATATCAGAGACAAATTCATTCCATGAGGACCAAGTTTCATGCACGTAAGAAGCAGGAATCTTATTAAAAAGTACAAAGTAACCTCCTGTTTGCAGAAGTTCTCTAAATGAAGGTGGCACACACAACACTTCGTCCAACAGGAAACTTGCAATTTTAACATGTCTCAAAAACTTGAGTCCTGGTTTTTATTTTACTTTAATATGAATATAGCTTCTCAAACAAACAAAGAAAAAAAAAAAGAGAAGTGTCACAGACACATTTTATGAAAAATCCTTTTGCTAGGATTTTTTCTCCTGAGAAGCTGAGAGGCCTCAGAAATGAAATGTAAACAATGATTATCTGCTGCTGTGGAATGCAACAGGTGCATCTGTGATTGGCCTCATGTGGTTGTTTTTAATTAATGGCCAATCACAGTCAGCTGGCTCGGACTGTCTGGTCAGTCACAAGATTTTATTATCATTCCATTCCTCTCTATTCCTTGCAAGCCTTCAGATGAAATTCTTTCTTCTATTCTTTTAGTATAGTTTTAATATAATATATATCATAAAATAATACATCAGCCTTCTGAAACATGGAGTCAAGATTCTCATCTCCTCCCTCGTCCTGGGACCCCTGTGAACACCAGCACAGAGAAGTATAAACATGTACTACTTTCTGTGCCCTGCCTCTACAGAAATGTCATCGTGGGTAAACACAGTTATACCCACACAGGGTGTAACAACACTGAACCCTTCAGTACAACACAAGGAAACTGCCTAGCAGCTTTTTCCTGTCTTCTACACAGAGAAATCAAGAGAGGTCACTTACCCTTTCAATTATTTCAAAGTTATTTGACGATAGCAGGCACACACATTTACTCCAAGAATTATGGAGTCACTCTAAGATCCCAGAGGGGTTTCTCCTTCTTCCTCTGCCATTCAGCTTTTGGGTTTTCCTGCTAGCCGCATTCTCTTTGTCTTCTTCAATGTGCAGCTGCCCAGCAGACCTGTGCACTGGTCAGTCTGCATCTGCAAGCTCTCCACTGGGGAGTGTTGGGCAAGGAAAGCCTGAGACATTGCCCACAGTCTCAGTTTTAGCCCACAGTAACTCCCAGTGCCACGACAGAAATGCTGGGCATTCTGCTGAGCTCTGGAGTCCTCAGACTAAGCCACCTCCTTGCTGAGCCAGCAGGGAGACAGGGACAGAGAAACAGCTGTGGGGATCCAGTGACCCCACTTCCTACAAGGCACAGCAGAGTAAGAGTTTATTAATGTATAGGAGCATGTAAATGAGAATGCTACATATAGATGCAATATTTCTAAAAATTATATGCCATACCCAATTGCCATAAAGAAGTCAAAACAGTAAATGGGATGTCTTATAGTTAAGAAAAATCTATTAGTCTTTACTGAACACATAGGAATTGTTTTCCCAGACTTACTTGGCCAAAATCTGACTGGTCCTAAAAATAGCAAATTTACATCACTAATATCAGAGAGGTTCTGCTGCCAAATTCCAAGTCTCTGCTCCAAAATGTGACAATATCTGATCATTCTAAAATCTCAGTACCAGAGAAACTGAATGTGAGAAACAATCACTTCACAAGGTGTCCCTATATGATCCTGGAAACTCCTAAGTGTGACCTCCATCTTGGGAAAGTTATTAGCAGAAACTATTACAGATGCAATTTTGAAGATGGATAAATATAGTGTACCTGGAGAGAAGTCACCATCATTTCTGTAAGTCCACACTGGGAAAATAAAGAGTAACTGCATGTATATAAAAATGGGTTCTAAGTTACCATAATTCCTCTTCCCTCTCCTGAAAAAAATTGAGCTTATTGTAATTAGCTCTACAAAGAGAAATAACTCTTAGTATTAAGTGAATAATCTTAAAATCTATTGGATTACTGGAATAAAAATCAACACAGGATAATAAGCAAAGAAAACTAAAATTCAGAAGAAAACATCATTGTCCTGCTATATACATGGATGGCATGTCCACATCTTGACTACGACATCTACCTCTGTCAGTCCTACCTCAGAAAGAATAAAAATGTAGAAAAGGAGCAGAAAAAGGTAACAGAGATAGCAAAAGGCATTGATTTGCTTCACTTGAGTCAAGAAATTGATTGTAGTTTTCTCCAAAATACAACAGAATTCTTCTTATCTGACAGATACGGTAAAACCATGGAATTAGAAGTGATGGCAGAATGTGAGTTAAAAATTATCACTGTTTCTAAACTCAGAATAGAAAATCAATCAGCCATTTACTAATTAAGTCTACCCAGAAATAATTTCTATTATAGAAACCGAAAATATAAATGGATTTTAAACATGCTTCACAAATTCATGGAGGGTTTGTCTGCTGGTAAATAAAGAGCATTGGGTACCAGCTGCAGGAAGAACTTCCCTCCCTCACCTCCTGTGGCAGCTCAGGATGTCCCCAGCTTGCAGGGATCCCCCTGCACGTGGCTGCTCCCCATGTCACTCCCATGTCACTCCCTGTGTCACTCCCATGTCATTCCTCATGTCCCCATGTCACTCCAATGTCACTCCCCATGTCATTCCTCATGTCCCCATGTCACTCCCCATGTCTCTCCCCATGTCACTCCCCGTGTCACTCCCATGTCACTCCCATGTCACTCTCATGTCACTTCCCATGTCACTCCCATGTCTCTGCCCATGTCACTTCCATGTCACTCTCATGTCACTTCCCATGTCACTCCCCATGTCACTGCCACATCACTCCCCATGTCATTTCCCATGTCCCCATGTCACTGCCCATGCCACTGCCCAGGGGTCTGCTGTCCTTAGGAGCTGCCTGACATTTATTTCCCTTTCCCCCTGGCTGTCCTCACTCTCTCACCTTACTGACCAAGCACACACCAGCCCATCCATGCCAGATAAAGTGAGAGCATTCCCAGCTCTGCCCTGGCTGACATTCCTGTGTCCTCCTCCGTGTCTCTGGCTGTGTATCAGCTGGGTTTGTATCCCAAAGAAAACTTTTCATGGTACCATGAAAACTCTGCTTTCCCAACAAGCCAGAACTACTGATTCATGGAGATATTTTATTCTCCAGCTGTTTAAATTCTAATTTATTATGCTGTGTTGTTTAAAATCATATTTAGTTGAACCTTTGTCAGAAAACACATTTTACTTCTAAAAGTAATGCAATCAGACTTCTCAATAATTTCTCCAATTCCACAAGTGTGGTGAAGTGCATATGAGAAATCATTATTCAAACCCTTTGGCAGCTCAGGATACAATCCCAGCTAGGCAAACAAACTGTTCATGTGGTGATGGAGCTAAAATAAATATACCACAATATTGATGGCACTTTGTTATAAAAACCACTGCAAGTAATAAAACTTTTAAATTATAAAAAAATAATAGAAGGACAGAGACCACATCTCCACTGTAGAACTTCTCTGTGCACTTATTTTCTGTAAGAATTTCTTCAGAGAGGGTATTAATATGGTATTTCTCTTGTTTAAATGGAATTAGTAGGAGCTGAATGCATTTACATACACGAATATCACTAGGAGTTTACAAAACTCTGATTGTGGGTAGACATTTGAATTATGAACACAAAAAGCAGACTGGCATAAACACAGTTTCTTTCTTTGTCAGATATGATTGAAACTGGCCAGCAGGTTCAAAAATATATCAGAGATGGACTGCAGTACATGACAGTAAAAACTGAATTTCCCCATGAAACCTACTACAAAGCCCTGTTGGAAATTTAAGGGGAAATCTGGAGAGAAGGAAAGGAATTCTGGGCCCTACAGTAACAGATGAGATGAAGTAAAGACAATAAAAAACAACATTAATTGAGTAAAGAGATAGGCACAGAAGTGTTTAAAGCAACTATTCACTCTAAGGAACATCTCAGAGTAACCTTACTCTGAATGGAAATTAAGTTTTGCTAAAATATGACATTTCTGACATTCAGAAGTATCAAGTGTCATTGCTCATTTAGCAAACCACATGTAAAATGATGAAATGATGATTTGAAACATTTGTCAGATGCTGCCCAAATATCAGTCAACTTTAGAAGGTCTCTGTAAGCACAGACATAAAAGAAAGCTTAGAAAAGAGTAATCTTCCATTCACCTGTAGCCATCTAGTAATGATACTTCAATACACTTGTACACTTCATTAAACTACTAATTTGACTTTGATCTTCTTGACAAGTTTATCTGAATTTAATGAGATCTTTCATGCTCGTACTGGTCTGTATGACTGCAAAGGAGCTGACAAATTGCTCTTTATTTCTGAATTTTACTAAAGAATCTTCCTCTTAAATTGTATCGTTAGAGAAAAAAGTATATTCTTAACAGTTTTACATCCAAGTCTACCAATAAAATCAGAGCATCAATGAAAAAATAAGCAGAAACGTTGTATTTTAATGTAGAATTGTGCCAATTTGATCTCCAGGCCCTTGATTTTCCTATTTATTCATTGAACTTGTGCAAAGAGCTTGAGCTGAAAAATGTTTTGACTTAATAAATGGAAATTGTAAACAATTATCATACTATATAAAATTCATGAAGTACTTTTAGTTTAAATATAATTAATCTTTCATTAATCACATAAATATGCAATTTATGTATTTCTAGGATCTAATACTTTACTTATGCAAAGTATAGTATTACCTACTGCCTAAAATCTTCAAATGTAGCTGTATAGAATAAAAGTGTTAATCAACCATCAAGCATTACTAATCTGAAGTGTTAGAAAGGAGGAGCAAAATAGTTTATAAACAAAGTCACAAGTCAAAAAGGCCCAAATAATAAAACTAAACTAAAATGTTCATGTTTTTTATAATATTTCATCTTACCTGAATTTTCCCAAAAGGATTAGCACTTTTAATATCAATTTTACGGCTCATGTAAAAGAATAATTCTGATATTTCTAGCCCTTTGACTGGTAATACTTCACTACAGAAACAAACTCCTTACTCATGTGCTTAATAAAGAATTAGACTCTCCCTCCATTTTATATTTTACTCCAGGAGAATTCTTGCTATGAAACTTACATGTGCTCAGTCTTTTCTTCCTTCCTTTCCAAGGTGTTAAGTTATTAATACTGCAGTAATGAAGTCCATTTGATGTTATGCTGGCTCGACAGTCTCCCAACTCCACTTGGTGTGTTGTTTGATAAATGAGGAAACCCAATGAAGTGTGAGTAGGTTAACTGGTGATTGATCAAACGATATCCAGTAAGTAAAAAGAAAAATGTGTTAACAGTGGGGAGAAGGACTCTGGGTTCAGAAAAGAAAATGAGACAAAAACCAAGTAAACCCATCTAAGCTGGTTTTTTTTCATGGTGACAGAAGCATTTATAACTATGCTGTCTGACAAATGTCTTAAGTCTACCTGAAATAAAGGTCTGTGTTAAAGCTTTATAGAAGGATACTAAGAAGAGCATGTGGGAGCTCAGCTCTCTCTTGTGCAAAATAATTGAGTTCAGCTCAGTGGCAAGCTCATAGTGCCTGTGAAGTACTTTGTATGAAAGTATTACCAGTCTTATAAAGTACTTCCAAGCAAGATGAACTTAGGTTCTAGTTCACTTTAATTCTTGTAAGATTGAAACGATAGAAATGTTGGTGAAACTACCTGATATTTTTGAGCCCAACTTCATCATCATCATCATCTTTTCTTCATGTTTGAACAAAAGCTGCATTTCTCTCTGCATCAATCCATGTAACTTGTTGTCCAGCAGTGGATGCTAGAGCCTTACAGCTGATTCCCACAGCACTCCTCTCTACCACACAGAAGTGACCAGTCTGCATGTGGGTGTTCTGGCATTAGCCCAGATACCCCTTGTGGCAAACACACAGAAGACATTTCACTTTTTAACATTTTATTTTCAAGTCAAGTAATTGTAGTATGCATCTGATCCCTTCATCTGCTTCCACATAACTGCACAGCTCTAAATATAGAAGTTTTCTTTGTCATTCACATTTGAACTAATGCTACTATGTGCTGCTAGGCACAGGAGAGTGGACAGCAGGGCTCACTTAACAGTTTGAGAGGCTGAGAAAGCTCCAGTCCAGTT